CACCTATAAGTCCCTGGGAATCACGACACCATCTTACAGCCTCCAAAGGCACCAAGTATGCATGGAATGAACTGATATACATGGAGACGAAACAGCCTCACACAAAACATTTTTAAGATTGAAAACAGAATTACTACTCAGTGGTGGCGCACACCTTTTATCCCAGTGTTTGGGAGGCAGAGGCAGGAGGATCTCTGCATTCAAGGCCAGCCTGGTCTACAGAGTATGTTCTAACACAGCCAGGGCTACCCAGAGAAACCCTGTCTTGAAAAACCAAAAAGAAGAAGAAGAAAGAAAAAGAAAATTACTATATAATTTGTCCATACCACTTCAGAAGACATACCCAAAAGAATGAAACTCAGTTTACTGTAGAAATCTCTTCACATCCATGTTTATCAGCCGAGGTCCCCACCAGTAGACAAATGAGTAAAGAAAGTATTATATAATGATGGTTTATTTTAGACATAAAGAACAAAACTATGTCGCTTACAGTAAAATGGATGGAATTGGAAATCATCGTGTTAATCAAAATAAGCCAGACTCAAAAAGCCCAGCTCATCGTGTCTTCTCTCATATGTGAAATGTGGGAGAGGGCAGGGAAGAAATAAACCATCAGAGATCTGGGCAGAGAGCAGGAGGAATATCTGGGTGGGTCCTGTGGGGATGGAGACATTATACACATCTGTAGACGTATCACAAGGAAAGTCATACTTGGCACAGTAAATAAAAGCGAATAAGAATGGATTTTAGGGAAGAAAGATCAGGGCTGAAGATGGCCTCAGGTGGTAGAGTGCTTGCCGGGCTTAAACTAGCCAGGTGGTGCAAGCTGTAATCACGGCACACGGGAAGTGGAGGCAGCAGAGTCAAGAAAAAACGAGGAAAAAACCCGAAAATCCAAATGAGAACTGCTCTGTAAAGCTTGCTTGACCCACGAGGTTTATTGAGGCAAATGTAAGCATTATACACAGAAAGTTTCCCAGAGTTCAAATATCCAAATTGACTCCTCGGTCCTGTGATTAAAGAAAAACTAATATACATATGTATATATGAGAGAGAGAGAAGGAGGGAGGGAGGGAGAGAGAGAGAGAGAGAGAGAGAGAGAGAGAGAGAGAGAGAGAGAGAGAGCTTTTTTAAAATTTTATTTTTATATGCATTGGTGTTTGGCCTGCATGTCGTGTGAGGGAGTCAGATCCACTGGAACTTGAATTATACACAGTTGTGAGCTGCCATGTGGTTGCCGGGAATTGAACCTGGGTCCTCTGGAAGAGCAGCCATGCTCTTAACCACCAATCCATCTCTCCAGTTTTTTTTTTTTTTAATAATTCTTTTTTTCAACATCCCGACCACAGTTTCCCTTCCCTCCTCTCCTCCCATTCCCTCCCCCACCTCCCCTCCACACACCCCTCAATCCACTCCTCTGTTTCTCTTCAGAAAGGGGCAGGCCTCCCATGGGTGTCAACAAAGCGTGGCATATCAAGTTGAGGTAGGACTAAGCTCCTCCCCTGGTATTAAGGCTGGGCAATGCGACCCAGGATAGGTTTTTATTTTGTTTTGTTTTGTTTTGTTTATCCCTTTGCTTAAATAGTGCAAAAGTGTGAATGGCATTAATGTCATATAAAAACATGCAGATATGGCCCTATAAATGAAGAGAAGACAAAAAAGATATTATGTCATACATGTGCTCTGTTGATAAATATTAAAGACACCAGACCTTCTTTTTTAAAAAAAAGTTTTTTTTTTAATGTGATTTAGAGATTTCTTAAAATGAAAACAGTGTGATAATGCCTGGAATCCCAGCACTCGGGAGGCAGAGACAGAATATCATAAATCCCAGATCTGAGCTACATGTAAAAGAAAAACAATCCCCCCCAAAACAAAAAAACATATTATAGTTAAAACCTACTATCCCCACAGTATGGTGTACATCAAGACTTAATATAAAGCCACAGCAATCAAGACAGTACGGTACTGAAATAAGACATCAGTGAATAAATAGAACACAAATAAGTCTACAAACAGACCCTGCAAATAAAATCAACTGACCTTTGAAAAGGACCAAAGCAATTCAATGAGAGGATTCTTTTTCAGTACATAGTACAGAATGAGCCAGGAAGCATGAAAGCAATTGGCATACCAATCTTACACCTTTTACAAAATTAATTCAAAATTTATCACAGATGCACAAAATGCAAAATATTACAATTTCTAGACAATAACATAGGGAAAAAAATGACCTTTAGCTTGGTTGTATTTTCTGTGTTTTTCAATTTAGCCTTTGTTAGACTCTTCAGACAAGGGCAAAAAGCAGCCACATTCTTCACTAGAATATCACAAGAACAATTTCTAGACAACACACTAAAATTCTTCCCTGAAACCTCTTGACCCAGCCCCGGGCAGTGCAAGTCACCCTCAGCACCCCTGTCGTCCATGCTCCTACCAACATGCCCCATTAAGCCGTGCTTACAGCATTCCACTGCTTTCCTAACCCAAAGTACCAAAGTCCAAATTCCTCCAAACAAAAACATGGTCAGGACTATCACAGCAATACTCCAGTCTCAGGTACCAACTTGTCTTAGTTAGGGTGTCTACTGCTGGGAAGAGACACCATGACCACAGCAACTCTTATAAAGGGAAACACTTCATTGGCAGCTTACAGTTCAGAAGTTCAGCCCATTATCATCACGGTGGGGAGCGTGGTGGTGTGCAGGCAGACATGGTGCTGGCTACATCTTGATCGGAAGGCAACAGGAAGTGGACTGAGTATCACACTGAGGGAAACTTGAGCAAAAGAGACCTCAAAGCCACCCCCACAGCGATGCACTTATCCAACAAGGCCACCGCTCCAAATAGTGCCATTCCCCTTGAGAGCAATTTTCTTTCAAACCACCACAGACAGATACTGATGAACATTTAGAAAACAGAAACAAGAGGCATTATCTGTCACACTCCTGTCATTCCTTTTCTATTTTAGAAGGCGTCTTTCTGACCCATGTTTCTGGTTTTACCCAAAAGAGAGTTACTGTAAACATACTAGACAAACTATTACATGTTTTAAATGCCTCTTTCATGTAGTATTAGCAATGATCCCTTGTTATATGAACACTGTTCAGGTAACAGCACTCTTTGTAGAGTCCGTGTGTCACGGGGCCGTGACATGAGTCTCTTTACAGCTTAAGCTCATACCCTAGTGTGGGGTGATTGATTCTAGGCAAGCTGCTGATATTATTGTGCCTCATCATCCTCATCTATAAAATGGGAAGAAATAACAATGAAGACAATAACTACTGTATTACTTCCTCTTTTTATTGCTGTGATAAAACACCAGGACTGGGATGGAGAGATGGCTCAGAGGTTAAGAGCACTGGCTGCTCTCCCAGAGGTCCTGAGTTCAATTCCCAGCAACCACATGGTGATTCACAACCATCTGTAATGAGATCTTGTGCCCTCTTCTGGCCTGCAGGCATACATACAAGCAGGATACTGTATACATAATAAATAAATAAATAAAATCTTTTTTTGTTTTTTAAGAATACTCCTATACACACTTAGGACATTTTATTCAAGCTGGGTATTCATTGTCTTCTATACATCATTACCTTTTAGTATGTCTAGAATATTTCAGTGGGAACCACACTCAGTGAAAAACAAGAAACCTAGTGTCGTATACAAAAGTGGGCACAGAAGGAATCAAAGATCCCATTATTAAATCAAGGAATTATCTCACATGACAATTGGCTAAAAGGAAAGGCTGAGGGCCTTCCAGGCTCTCCACACCTGGACCATTCCCCTCCTCACTCACCACCCATTGCTACTTACATCTGCTCCAGCTAAAAGTGATACCCAAGGTTTCTAAACATACTTCCCGTCTGCTCCTCCTCTTGGTTTATTTCCTCTTCTCTGTCTCAACCTGCCAAACCCCGCCAACGTTTCAGAGTTTGATTCAGTCCTTCCAAAACAGTGCCGTCAAGTGGCGCCATCCATGTTAAAAGAGCACAGCTCAGCAACGGTGGTAAAGAACCTCACACTTCATCCCTGTGAGGTATTATCTCTCCCTCCCTCTTCTTCCCGCCCCCCCCCCACCTCCCTACTCACCCACCTTCATGTTCTCTCCTTCTCTCTCTCAAAAGAAAGAAAGAAAGAAAGAAAAGAAAGGAAGAAAGAAGGAAACAAACAAACAAAGAAACAAAGAAAACCAGTAAAAAGACAAAAAAAAAAAAGCAAACACACACACACTCACACACACACACACACACACACACACACACAATGGAGTCTATTGTGTGTTGACCTACACCCTTTCTCAGTGCTGGGGTTTTGTCTGGTTTGAATCTGTATAGATCCTTCCTGTGCCCTGCTGCCCCAGTCCCTGAGAGTTCATGTGCATCACTGCTGTTCTGCCTGGAAGATGCTGGAGGAGGGGGGGATTGCTAGTGATGACTGTTCTCTCTCTCTCTCTCTCTCTCTCTCTCTCTCTCTCTCTCTCTCTCTCTCTCTTCTTTTTCTTTTCTGTGTGTGTTTTGGTTTTTGGATTTTCAAGACAGGGTTTCTCTGTGCAGTCCTGGCTGTTCTGGAACTCAGCCTGTAGACCAGGCTGGCCTGGAACTCAGAGATCTGCCTGCCTCTGCCTCCCGAGTTCTGGGATTGAAAGAATATGCTACCATGGCCTGCTTGATTACTAATCTTAAATTAGATTATGGCCTCAATTGGATTATTAGCTCTCTCAACACATTTTATAGCAGCTAAAAAAAAAAAAAACAAAAAAAAAACAAAAAAACCAAAAAAAACAGACTATGTTAGAATTTGTCTCCTCTCGGCCGCCCCCACCCCCCACTCCCCCTCCCATACACACCATAGTTACTACATAGCCAGACTGGGAATTTGCGATCCTCTGGCCTCACTCGGCCTAGTCCTGGTACGACAGGATTTTTTCTACAATTCCAAGCTTGTTTCAAGGGTGTTCAATAAATAAACAGAATTACTCCGCTTTTGTCACAAACAAGTTAACAATATGAAATTATAGACAAGTTAAATCGTTACTGTGGTAGCCATTTTTCTATCTACATGTGTTCCAGTGACGGGAGTCATAAGCCTAAGCGACCCTTGACACACATGCCGCCATATTTGGGCTTCTCTCCTCTTTTCCTAGATCTAGGCCTTGCTTAAGTCTCCATAGCACCAGAACCTCTTCTCACAGATACCAGAACCTCTTCTCAGATATCAGGTGAACAAGCTGCAGTTGTTAAGCAATTAGGCACTTAGGCAAGAGTAGATAGAAAACCCCCAGAGCAACATTTCCTGCTGGCCAAACAGCCCATAATTAAGTCCCTTCCTGCTTGCACCCCCCTTTACCTACCTATATATGCCTTAAGAAAAAATAAATAAAATTCTGGAGCTTGACCAGACGTCCTGTCTTGCTCTCATTCTTTGTGTCTCTTGTCCCTCTCATTCGCCAGCCCTCCCTTCAGGTCCCCGTTGAGGACCCCACTGGCCATGGCATTCCAGAGCCTCGGGTTATACATTTTAAACATACACAATAAAATCTGTTTTTGAAAAAATAACATACATGTGAAGCCAGCTCACAAACATTCAAGACAAATGTGCAAGTTCAAAAGCAACAGGACCAGAAAGCCCGGGTTCATGAAGCAATAGATACTTCTATAACTTCATTAGCTAATAAATTAACAAATGAGTAGATGCAGACACTCCAGACACAGAAACAATTTACCCAGTCGGATGACGAATTCAGGTAATTCTCCTCCTTAAGTTACATTCAAGTGTCATAGTTCAAATCTTGAACCATAGACTATCACCCTTCCAATAACTTAGCATATCTTGGTAGATAAACCCAAGAAGCAATGGGATTATATCTTACCATTCATTCTCCACACTGTGTCGAAACATCTGACACAGGAACTTAAGGAGGAGAGATTTACTTTGCATCATATTGGGGAGGCATGGTGGCAGGAGCGGCATGGTCCACCGCAGCAGGGGTTATGGCTGCTGCCCGTTTACAGAACCAGGAAGCAGGGCTTGCCCTAGAACCAGAGCAAGTGTGACCTTCCCAAGCAATCAAGAGGCTTGTCGGCTCCACGCCACCCTGGCCTACATACACCCCAAGAACCCGGAAGGCTTCTGGTTGTCATGTAGAAGACAAAGTGAGTTTCTTTCGCAGAGTGTGCTGCAGGCTCAGATAGTATTTCTCCTTAGAAGAGACTCCGCTGTTCCAGGCATACACTTTGTCCATGAGTTCAACGTGGAGATCCACGAGTGGGCGTTTCCTACAGGAAAAGAGAAAAGTACATTTGAATGCCATGCAAATGCCAAAGAGAAGACAGACCGTCAAACTGCGGTGAGATGAGCCAGCGGCTATGAGCTTTCTTTGAAACCCGCCCTTTTTAAATGCTCTGTAAGTTGCTTAGCAAAAACAATCCAAACAAGTTGGCAGCACTCTGGCCCCAGAGTCCCCTTCCACAGAGACAGCTGAATTTTACTGAGAACACACCAGCCAGGTGATAAGCCACCTGGATCACAAATGCAGAGACAGGAAGACTGTAAAAGGCCAGTGCCACCCCTGGTCCCTGGAGCATCTCCTTGGGAATGCTGCATCGCTCCGGGCATGCACACTAAGGAGACTGGGGAGAGAGAGCTGGAGAGGCACCTGAGCTCCTCAGAATACAAGCATCTGGGCGGTGGCTCAGAAACCTTACTACCGATTGTAATTAGGGGACAAATAAAAAAGGCCAATTAATCTTATACTTGAAGAGCATCGTGGCTTCAGTCAATTAACTAGAAGCCAGGTTAGTAATGGACCCTTTAGAGAAATACCCCTCCTAATAAACATCAAAAATATTTACAGTCGTGCCTTCGTCTGTGGAAGCCAAGACCCTCAGTGGAAGCATGTCTGAAAGCAGGCCAGCAATGAACCCTACAGTGCATACACTGTGATTTTTCTATAATACACACCTGTGGTAAAGCTTAAGTCATGTTAGCAGAGTATAAGAAATACATGCAGCCGAGCCGTGGTGGCGCACGCCTTTAATCCCAGCACTCGGGAGGCAGAAGCAGGTAGATTTATTTCTGAGTTAGAGGCCAGCCTGGGCTACAGAGTGAGTTCCAGGACCCTGTCTTGAAAAACCAAAGAGAGAGAGAGAGAGAGAAAGAGAGAGGAAGAGAGAGAGAGAGAGAGAGAGAGAGAGAGAGAGAGAGAGAGAGAGAGAGAATACATTCAAGCTGAATAATGCTAAGTATTGATCAGCTGTGCTGAGTCTATATCACATCCCAAAGTAACCCTAGTGGGGGAAGGGACAGTCTCTTTCCTGCAGAAGGCCAGCAGACAGAGCATGGTGGTCATCTCCGTTCTGGCAGCAGGGGGATAAACACATGGCCAGGGGTCAAGGTGGAGCTCACGGACTGTAGTTAGTGCTCACCTTTCTTTCTTTCTTTCTTTCTTTTTAAAGATTTATTTATTATGTATACAGCACATATCTCCACAGGCCATAAGAGGGCGCCAGATCTCCTTACAGATGGCTGTGAGCCACCATGTGGTTGCTGGGAATTGAACTCAGGACCTTTGGAAGAACAGTCAGTGCTCTTCACCTCAGAGCCATCTCTCCAGCCCCAGTGCTCACCTTTCTTGCTTCAGCTGCTGGGAGAGGTTCCACAGGTACATGGAGGAGGAGCTAGAGGGCTGCTCCAGCTGGGACACATCCGCCGTGCACAGGCTCCAGAAGATGTCAGCTTCCCTGTGAGTCAGGCAGGAGTCAGGATGCAGGGCCTTGGCGTCCAAGTCTTTTACTGCCGGCCCGTCGACCTCCAGGCTGCTGTCTTCCGACGGGCCGCCTAACACCTCATAGTTCTGAATAAAGAAGAGCTTTGGTTTCCCTACTAGGGAAGGGCACATGTCCCCCATGAACATCCTCTTGACACAATCCAAGGAGAACCCCGAGTGAGCCTGGTCCACGCCCATCATGCTTTGGGAGCCTCCTCGGCTCACTAGAACACATACGAAGCTGTCATAGTCTTTGTGTGTAGGTAGAAGGGCACATCGGTGAAGAATATGGCTTATATCATCCGCTCTGGGAAACAAGAAAGCCTTGACATGATAGCCCAGGGAAGTGAAGGTCTCTTGTAGATATTCTGGAGAGAACAAACAGAAAATAGCACTGAAGGGAGAAGAGCCTCGGAGACACTGGATAATCTCCATATGCATCTGTGTCTGGGTAATGATACTCCAAGGCCTCCCAATTCAGAAATAAGGAGACATGAAATGTGTGACTTTCGTGTCCCAGGCTTCTCTCAAAGGCACAATTCCCCGCTACCCCGCTGTCTCTGCCCACAGCCAACCGCAGATTTGACAGGACCCAGACGCAACCCACCCAAGGCAGTCGAACCAAGAAAGAACAGAACTGGTGTCTTGTCAACCAAAACAAATGGAAGGTTCTTCAAAAGGTCAAGCCTTCAGGTGGCCCCCGCTGACTCTAGGCACCTCATCAGAGACCCTAAGCCAGAGCAGCCTACCTACGCTGTTCCTAAAGTCCCAACCACAGAAACTGAGAGATATAATCCAATGAATAGTTTGCTTAAGCCACTTAATGAGAGAGTGATTTATACACATTATTAGATAAATAATGCAACAAGTAAGTCTTTTGCCCTCTCCTATTAGGATAATTATCTTTATTAACTGTAGTTATATTCTACACACTTTACACACTTTTTTGTTTTTGGTTTTGGGTTTTTTTTTTTTTTTTTTTTTTGAGACAGGGTTTCTCTGTGTAGCTTTGCGCCTTTCCTGGGACTCACTCTGGAGCCCAGGCTGGCCTCGAACTCACAGAGATCCGCCTGGCTCTGCCTCCCGAGTGCTGGGATTAAAGGCGTGTGCCACCACCGCCCGGCTGGTTTTGGTTTTTTTGAGACAGGGTTTCTCCATGTAGTTTTGGTGCCTGTCCTGGAACGCTCTGTAGTCCAGGCTGGCCTCAAACTCACAGAGATCTGCCTGGCTCTGCCTCCTGAGTGCTGGGATTGAAGACGTGCGCCACCGCCACCCGGCGCTATTCTACATACTTTTATCCTCTCCTAAAAATGAATTATAGTCTCCAACGCTGAAGAGATACAAAGTGCAGACATCATTAAGTTCACGATCTGCAAGCATCTTATTAAGGAAATGGGGATCTGATCCACAGGTTGCTGATAACCTATTGGGTACCCCTCTTTCCCTTGTAAGATCCGGGTGATAGACTAACGGAGCCACACTGACCCACCCTAGCCACCTCCCTGGGGCGTAAGCAAGGCTTAAAGCTCAGAACTAAACCCAGGTGGGGTCCAGGACAGGAAAACAAGAGCAGCTACATTAGGACTGTAACCACCTGGCAGGAATGAAGACATCCTGGAGACATGTGCCCCTCCCCAGGACAGACTGTTAGAATTACCCCGGAACCTTGTGCTGGGAGAAGGAGAAGGCGGGAGCTTAGTGACCCACCAGATAGATCTGCGGGAGAGACTGGAGCAGAGGGAGCCACGAGGGTGGGCGGGACCAGACCTTGACCAGGACAGCTTAGTTATGCAATACCTCCTGCCTGCCTTCTTATTTAAACCTAAACTTCATGTCAGGACCCTGAAGACGGATGAGAGGGTCACCGAACCTGTTTGCTCTTCTTCCCAATGTGGCCACACTGAATAAACATCCTTTTCCCGCTTTTCACTGGTAATTGGGTTTTTAACTGGCGACGGAACGCAGCTTGTTAGCGCGGCCAGGGCTGGCGTCTCCCGGGTAACGGCGGCACAGTCCCCTGGCTCTCTCATTCCAAAAGGCTCCTTTCTCTTGCTATGGCGTACTCTCTCCTCTAGGGGGCAGGAGTAAACAGGGAAATGCAGGTTCCAAAACTCTCCTGCTCACGTGTCATTTTACTGGCTGGCTTTGCTTGACCGATCAAGTCTTTCCTCTTGACAGGAAGCTCAGCGGGGCTTCCTTTCCAAGCTGGTGTGCGCCGAAGAGGGCAAAGGCTGCTCTGCGCCTTCCAGCGCCTTCACCCTCCTGGGGTTCAGCGGTGCAGGACGGAAAAGAGAACACACCACAGGATCGGAGTTTAAGTCCGGGCTCCCTACCTCCTTAGGGTCTCAGCCTCCTCCAAGGGGCGAAGAGGAGGACAAGCACCTAAGATCTGAAGCAGAAAATCCTTCCCCAACACGAGAGGGAAAAGGCAAAGGTCCCAAATGCCACAGACACCACCAGGAAGACCCTCCCCCTCCCCCCAAATCTGTATGGGACCGGGAACGAAACAGAGCAAGCCCTCCGCGAGGGGAAGTCACCCAGCAGATGCAGCCTGAGGTCATCACAGCTGACATTTCCCACCAGCACCGCATTTCCTTATTAGATGGCTAAGGTGGGTAAGGAGGGTAAAGGTGCCAGCTGGAGTAGCACACACACCAACATTCCTTTCCTTCTTGGGCCAGCAAGCACAAGCATGTAGCCCAGTCTGATTTACAGGCTCTCGGGGGTGGGGCCCATGCAACTTAGAGTAAACCAGGGCCTCCATGTACTCATCTATGAAGTAGGATTAATATGAACACCTAAACAAGAAGGTGGAGCCCAGCAGGGCTTCTGTAAAGATGCTTAAAAAAAAAAAAACGGCATTTATTCAAGTATAGACAATTAACTTTAAAGGAGATGACAGCAGTCACATTAACCCCCATATCAGGGACCCTGCTACGCATCTCTTCCTAAGTGCCACATCTTATGACCCAGATGGTGGTTTCCCTACTCTAAACTAAAACAGTCTTGGGGCAGACAGACTCTGGGTCCCACATATGACTTAGCTGCTGCACTGGCTGGGTTTTGTCTGTCAATTTGACACAAGCTAGAGTCATCAGAGAAAGGAGCCTCAGTTGAGGAAATGCCTCAGTGAGATCCAGCTGTTAAGACATTTTCTCAATTCGTGATTGATGGAGGAGAGTCTGCCCTTGGTGGGTGGTGCCAGCCCTGGGCTGGTGGTCCTGGGTTCTATAAGAAAGGAGGCTGAGCAAGCCATGGGGAACAAGCCAGTAAGTAGCACCCTCCATGGCCTCTGCATCAGCTCCTGCCTCCATGTTCCTGCCCTGCTTGAGTTCCTATCCTGACTTCCTCCAATGAAGGACTATGATCTGGGAGTGTAAGCCAAATAAACCCTTTCCTCCCCAACTTGCTTTTGGTCATGGTGTCTCATCAGAGCGACAGTGACCCTAACTAAGACAGCCGCCATACCCTAGCTTACAAATAGAGGAAGAAGCAGTGGGGTGCCAGGCTTTGGAAAATAAAACCTGAGCAAAATGCAGAAGCTCCACTTCTCCTTCTCCCCACCCTGGAAACCCCACTTCCCACCCAGCCACAGCTTGGTAAGTTCCAACTGCTTCTTAGAAAACACTTCTAGAAGCCACGAAATGTCCCCTGGCCTTGCAGTTAGCACAAGACTACCCTAGAGCTCACTCAGCAAAACACCAGGACTTCAGTCACTTAGAACGCATTTGAGGGACTGGAGAGATGGCTCAGTAGTTAAGAGCACTGGGTGCTCCTCTAGAGGACCTGGGTTCGATTCCCAGCATCCACATGGTGGCTCACCACTGTCCGTAAGTCCAGTTTCAGGAGCTCCATGGCTCCAGGCACACATGTGGTGCACATGTACGTGCATGCAGGCCGAATACCCATACACATAAAATAAAATAAATCTTAAAAAAAAAAAAGAATTCATTTGAGTTAAATAAGCAGACTCATCTTGATGCTTTCTAGATAAATGTACGGAAGAATTAAGGAGAGACCCTTCACCGCTCTATTTACAATCAGTTACTCAGTGCCCTCCATAAGCCGAGACGAGGTGGGCAGGGCACCCTGGGAGGAAGAGGGAGTTCTCCACCAAACTGTATAGGAGCAGCAAGGGAGACAAGGCCAAGGTGGATTCCTGAGTGTGTGCACATATGGAGCTCACAGGTCAGCCTCGGGTGCCAGCCTTCCATCTCGCCTGAGAAGCTCTCTGCTGCTCTGTCACTGTGTATCTATCAGGCTAGCCGGCCCATGAGCTTCCAGAAAATCTCTATGGAGTACAGCCACTTGCCCTACATTTTGGCATTTATTTGGGACCTAGGGATTCGAACTCAGGCCTTCACATTTGTAAGCACACACCTTTACCCGTGGGCAATCTAATCCTAAAATTGCTTCTTCTTCTTCTTCTTCTTCTTCTTCTTCTTCTTCTTCTTCTTCTTCTTCTTCTTCTTCTTCTTCTTCTTCTCCTTCTTCTTCTTCTTCTTTTTTTTTTTTTGGCTTGAGGACAGTCAATTTTTATTAGAGTTTAAAAGGGAAGTTATAAACTCAGCGGCTACCAGGAGGAAGGGGAGAACTTGGAAGAGGAGGAGAAATGTCACGCTACTTGAGCCAACACGGAGGGCAGACCTGTGGCAGACGAGCAGCCACGTGGTTTTAAGCAGGGCTTCTTTATAGGAAGCTACGTGTAGCCCTGTACTGGGCGGGGAAGTCACTGCCTCCCTGAACTTCTGGTTGACTAAGTTCCCCTTATTACCCTCCCAGAAGCTATGACAAGGGACATGGGTCAAGCACACGACTCAGTCGCTGTCTTTCAAGGACTGTACGACCTTGTTGGAGAAGTAAGATCAGTAAGTGTGGGTCTCTGGGCAAATAGAGACAAAGGACAGTGTGGTCTCAGGCACTGGAGCAGGCATTGTGGGGAAAAGGTGTAATTTAAGCCAGAGCCTGGAAAGCCAAGGCAACGGACAGGAAAGTCCCTTTACCCGTGCCCCTGACAAGGTGACAAGGCACAGTTAGGGGCCACAGGTGGGTGGGAGCAGCACCATGTGGCATATTGCATTTGATCACCTGGGCCAACCAAGGCTTCACTGTTCAAGCTCATTCTTGAGGCTATAAACTACCTCTTAAGACTGTTTAGTAAGCAAAGGTGGCCACTGGTGATTCTTTCCAGACTACCTTGTATCAGGAGACAATAATCTCAATGCTACACAAGCCACAACAGGTGTCTGGGGTGCCCAGCTGAGAGTACTCTGTCATTCACACCCATAACTCCTCATCCATAATTCCAGCACTTCAAACAGGCAAAGACCTTACATTCCTTTCTGCCACCCCATTTTCTGGTAAAGCCTTTCATGAGCTGAAAAGGCCTATCCCATATCATGTGACTATCAAGTGAAATGTTAATGTGCTTATCAAAGGGGCTCCCCTGAACCCCGGTACATGTACCACATTATCTTTTTAAACTCTAAAATACAGGGGCCTCCAGCAAGGGCCTATAGACCTATCCTTCTTAAGGACATCCTGGACTTAGAGACTTAAAAGGAAATTCCATTAATAATGCTAAGCTTCTATGCAAATATCTGCTTGGGCCCAGAGGATAGAAATGTCCAGAAGACAGAAGTCCCTCATCACACACTCCTGCTCCGAGGAAGAAGTCATCCACAGTGTACTGATCCCCTGAGACCAGGAGGGGCTGAAAGGGTTTGTCTACCGCTCCTCTGAACAAAGCGTCCCTCTACCATTTTGGATGTCACCTGCCCCTTGTCCCCATGAGCAGAGGTCACAGTGAGTGCTCCACTTCCCCTTGCAGGAATGTCCCTATTATACAAATGTTACTACAAGAAAATGATGTCCATTCAAGCTTCTGCCAGTTCCATTAAAAGAAAAAGAAAAAAAAGAAAAAAAAAAAAAAACCACAAAAGGAGGCACGGAGCAGCCCTAGCCTGCCACTGCCAGGATGGGAAGTTTCTTCACAGAACACCACAGGAGAAACTGCGGTGTCTGCTAGAAAATGTGTCTGCGTCAGTTAAAGCGTGACAAAAATATCAGAAGCAGCAGAGGGAAAACTATTTCCTCTTCATAATCTGAAAATGCTGCCTTTATACAGGAACCCCCAAGATAGGCAAGGCTTAAACCAGGCCCTGCGTCCACCTGCCAGTGATTCAAGACAGTGGCTCCCACACGCCTAGGAAGATCAAGGCTAGCACACGGCTCGCCAACCAAGACCCAACCTTTGCTAGGTTGCTGGCATGGTTGCCTGGACACCACAGACATGTGCTTGAACTCTACCAAGGACAAAATGAGGCCGAAATCCTTCAGCACTGCTACCCACCGCAAGAAAAGGTCATGGCCGATAAGGATCCTTTTCCAAAATAATTTACCAAAAATAACCTTGTCTCTTCTCACTGGCCCTGAGACCAGACTCCATCTCAAATGAACTCCATGCAGGGCCAAGCATGTGCTGTTTGTAAGATATCTTTAATAAGCATTTACCAGACGAAGAAAATAATATGCCTATTAATATTTAGGGGATTTGTGGTCTTTAGTTAAAGTCTGATTGGGGGGGGGGTAGGCAAAAAGGAGGAAGAAGTCCATGAGACTATTAAACTGAAACATCAAAGGACTGGTTCAAAACACATGTTACAAGGAGAGACTACTCCATCACCAGCGTCCCTTCAGGAACTACTCCATCACCCCTTCAGGAACTACTCCATCACCC